TTGGCAAAGTCTCTGGGGCTCTGTCTAGGCTATGAAGGTTTTCCGGGGTATCCTGGAAAAACACCACGTCCAGGGAATGCGTCTGCTCTTCTAACATTTTTTGTGGAAGAGCAGACACGTTCTTTCAGAAGCCCTGAATTCCTCATTTTATGAGGAATAAGGACTCTTCCGAAAGAGGAGGTTTTTCCAAAATTTGGCCCACTGTAGATAGGCCAAGTTTCAGAAAAGCCTCTTCGAAAAAACAATCAGAAAAAGGTATGCACATTGCAATTTTATGTACCTTTTCCCAGAAAAAAGCGGCAGTTTAGATGTAGCCTGGGACAGCACCAGTCAAGTCCCAAGGGTGCTGGATTAGAGAGTTTCAACCTGTATCAACTCTTAACTGCAGAATCATGGCCTAAATAACACATCAGTGAGAAGAGAAATAATAATTCACTTAAATTCAAAACCTCATACTTTATTTGAAATAAGAAAAGTCATTCTTAACTTTTGGAAAAATAAATGGTACTTTTTCTATAAGCCTCAAAATACATTTCCAGATATTCTGGAATTTTTATTCTTTAGTGACTTAAACATGTGTTGCGTTTCCTAAGAGTTTATTTCAGCACTTGGCCCTCTGATCAATTTATTAATCCCCTTTTCTTTTGAAAGGCATATTTTCTATATTTGAAAGCAGCATTGAAATAAAAGCAGCATTGCAACAAGAGTGGAGGGCCTGAATGTGCCATCCTCAGGGTCCAAACAGCCTAGGTAATGCTTTTCTGTCTTGCCTATGGCATAGGAAAGATTTTATCTTACAAGAATGAGAAAAGGTTTTTAATTTCACACAGCTACAAAACAGTGACAGGCACAGGAAATGCACAGATTTCCTGGAGCAAACGTAGATGAATGCTCCCATGCTGTCTGTCTGCTTGGGGTTTTTTTTTAATAAAAACCTGCGACGCGTCCACATCTTAAATGAACTTTTGCATAAGTAACTCAACAGGCAAGTGAGGACACTCCAGAGGGGTTTTTGCACAAGAATTGGCCTCTATGGAAAAAATTAGTGGCTGCTGGGCCACTCCAGCCAAGTCAATCAGGACTCTAATAGTGATAGAAATGTAGCCGTGTTAGTCTGGGGTAGTTGAAGCAAAATGCAGGACAATGTAGCACTTTAAAGACTTAACAAGATGGTTTATTAGATGATGAGCTTTCGTGGGCCAGACCCACTTCCTCAGATCAAATAGTGGAAGAAAGTAGTCACAACCATATATACCAAAGGATACAATTAAAAAAATGAACAGATATGAAAAGGACAAATCTAGTTCCTGTCTGGTGGTCGCCTTTAAAGCCGCAGGCACCCTGCACGAGCCTTGTGGCTAGAAGTTTGCCCAGAACAGGTGCCTTCACTGCGTGGCTCTGCTTCAGCCACAAATGGCCTCACGGAAAGCTCCCTGAGATCTCCCTGGCCATTTCAAGAAGCAGCCTCAGGGGTCACAGGACGCCCCCAAGGGAACCAAGAGGTGTGCCCCCACCTGGAGCAGGCTGGAAATCACCAGCCTCCGGGTATGTCTACACTACAAAGTTAATTCGAACTAACAGCCATTAGTTTGAATTAACTTTCGTAGGCGCTACGAATTAAGTTCGAACTGGCAGAGCACTTAATTCGAACTAGGTAAACCTCATTCTTCAAGGACTAAAGCCTAGTTAAAATTAAGTAGTTCAAATTAAGGGCTGTATAGCCACTCTGGGCACAACCAGGGAAACTCTTCTGCCCCCCTACTGGCCCCAGAGCCCTTAAAGGGGCACGGTCTGGCTACGGTGCCCGTGCCAGGTGCAAGCCTGCCAGCACCCAGCCAGCAGACCCTGCACCT